ATGCGTCCGCCAGGTGAGATATAAATGCCCAGATAGCAAAATTTGTTTACTTCCTTTACCACTTCCTCAGTGATAGTGAGATTGGAGGCTGGACCAACCCAATCTTGGAGAAACATTTTACACTTGGAAGATGCAAAACGCATACCGAACATGGCTACACTAGCACTCAAACTATCCAGAAAAGCTTGCAACTTACCTGCATCTTTGCTTAGTGGCACAACATGTGCACAATGTTGTCTGATCTAGAGTATGCAGACAACATTATGTGCACATGCGTTTGCGTAATTCATTGAAGAAACGTCATCGTAGTTGCGTAAAAAACGATACTATATATATATATATATAACACGTGCCCAGTACCTTGTAGCCAAGTTCGAACTCTGTCGGTCGGCGAGCCACGTAGGCGAACCAGCTGATCAGCGAGTTATCCACCGCAGCACTCACAGGCACGGCCACACAGAGCATTCGCGAGGTCTGGTGCACTGAGTCCATTGATTGTGCACTGGCCCGAGCCGGGACGGCAGAAAACACCAGACAAGCGGGTCGTGGATGCGGAGCGAATAGCAAGCCGTTCACGTGACTGCGAAAACGCAACCATACAGGCAAGACTGACGGTTGATTATCCCCGACTGGATGAAGAACTGAACAGTGATTTAGAATTGGTGACTTCTGGTAAGTATATGTAAATATAAATGTTTCGGAAGATTGTAATCATAAAAAGTTCACTGGCTACAGTCAGAGAACGTCTTCTAGTGTGAAAAAGAAAACAAGAACATGTGACTGGAAGACGAAAATTATTATTATATATTTCATTTCCTTTTGGTGCGTTGGGTAGAGCTCCTCGTCGCCATTTTGGTGGATAGGGTGGATAACTGTCATGATTAGATAGTGGCACTAACCGAGGTGGTGATGATCGTGGCGCTATTTTGTCAGTTCGAAAAAAAGGAACTATCGATACTGGTAAATCGGATATGATTCTACTCCTGCAATTCTGTATGGGTTATTGTGATGGCCATAGAGATGACTGAGTACTGTACAGAAGGAGTCAGTTATAAGCACGAGTAAATTAAAATCTCGCTGAGAAGCTTCCGCAGTGTGAACGGGCATTTTTAAAGTTTGTCAGTCAATTCAATTCGCATGTTTCAATTTTCCTCTTGTTAGGTTACAAATTGCAATACTTTATATGCTTGTATTAGTTGGAGTTCTTCAAAATCATAAGTGCAGTATTGTCACCATGCTTGTCCAGGTTCGAATCCAAGCGTACTGAATTGCAATTCCCATGGATAACCTCAAGACTACTCAGGGTTCGGTTACTCTTTGTTTTGGTTTCGTGGGTTTCGTGGTAGGTAAACATAACCCGATGAATAACCTTTGAATTCCAACCAGAAGGAACCGTACACTATTGTCTATTGAATGTGATCATTTCTTACTACATCAGACAGGAACTGAGATTTTTCTCTCCGCTGACCAAGTGACTTTCACACTACACAATAGAATGCATATTAGGCCCATTGGTTCGAACTACCTTCCACTTTGTGCCACGTCAATTCTAATATTTTATATAAATTCGAAGTTACCACCAAGCTCATAACTTTAAAAACCACAATGGTGCTTTCATTATCCGTGTTTTTTTTTCATGTGCATCGTGTTGTGGGCGGTTGGTCGGAATAGGGTAAGTAGTTAGCGCATTTGATTCACAACCTCTTGTGCATGAGTCCCAAGATTAGGTGACTCTATGGATATGCAAGAGCGCCGTTTTCCAAAATCTCGGATCAGACAGCTATAACCGGAGCTTTCAAGGCACGAAACAAGGCTTTTTGTTATGATCTGCCTAGACGTCCGTCCGATACGAGCGCCTCTTTCTTAGTCCCAAACAACAGTACAGGTGAGATAACACCACTGGAGAACAACAGCCACAGTATATTCTATGATCCTGATGCAATATGCAGTGGGCAAATCGGGAACGATGTAGTGACGTACCAATCAGCTCGCGTCCTTGAAATTCCGATTGATTGATTGGACGACAACTATCTGATTCGTCCTAGTCATTCAATCCGGAATCGAATCGCCTTGGGCGTCGAACATGCGCTTGCGGTGTGACGCGAATCCGTGCGCGGTTTGACGGGTCCTGTACGGTCCGACTTAAAACATTCTCATTTGCCTCTCTTGCTCTATTAATTCGATCGGTGTGGAACAGTACAACGAGAGAACAAGTAACTCTACAGAGTGTAAATTGCCAAGTTGTCCACGCTTTTCACTCACTACTATACTGCTTCAGTTACATGTACGATGCAAATGACTTCGGTTTTACCTAAAAAGATCGATTGCATTTCCTTGTTCCCTATGTTTCTGTTTAGATTGCCATACAGTGTACAGTTTTGTTATATTGAGACGCCAAATCCACACTCTGTACGTGAGGATTTTTTTCAATAATTGAACAGATTTCCACACGCACTTTGTTTTTGAACCATATCACAAGCTAGATTTTAGCGATGAATGATTCATGAATCTTGTTTGATAAGAATCACATACTTTGTCCGTTGGGAAACTCTGCGGCGAACGGACATTCCAATTCGGAAGCTTCAACTGCACCAAGATCTATCTGACCAGTCTCGGGGACGGGCCAGCACACCGAAACAGTGAATTCCGTACGAATCGGATGACTAGAAGCCAAACAAACGGGTACACGAACTTCCACCCCGGGTGGAACTGGAGGGAGTAGGATACGTGCCGGTTGACAGATCAAACGTGGTCGTTCTGTTCGAACACGTAAATGGATAGTTTTGAACGATTGAAACTTGGATTCCATTTCCGACGAGGTCTTGTTGTTGTTCTTGCTTTTGTTAGTGCTGTTGTCCTCATCCTCAACGGTGCTCCCACCAGCCACCAGATTGGTCTCTCCGGTCTCAACTTTCATTCGGGTGAGGGGTTGTTTGAGTAAGAGGATAGGCATTTGAATTTGTGCTTCACCTGATCTCCCTATGGTTTGAATTCGGTTTCGATGGAGTAACGGAAGACGGGGGAAACAAAGAACAGATTGAAGACATTAGAAACAGCAAATAAATAAAACGGTATCATATATGACAGTTTGTGTGCTCAGATGACAAAGCGGTGAAAAACGCATTCAACGATGCGTAACTGGGACATTATTATCATTTTTACCGTAGTGGTAGACAACAGGCAGTTCAACAGCTAAGTGATTTGAGAACGCTCAGAATGAATCAGTGTCTTTATCGATCAGAATCCGGACAAGGTTTTGTATCGGCATCCAGATATGTGACATGAGATAGCTGTGGAGGAATGAAATCTACAATCAGCCTGATTCAGTTCGAATGAATGGATAATGTCAGACTGAAAGCGAGGGGGGCATATATAATTTTATGATAAATATATATTGTTGATTCGAACAAGCAACGAGATTCTGGAAACACGGTTGATCGGTTTGAGGCCAGGCCTGAGTATCAGACTGAGTAAAGTCTCGAAACTGTAGTAAAAAAGTAAGTTATCATTAATCTATACCTATCTCGGTTATCATCCACATTAAACATCATGAATTATCACATTATGATCACCGTGAAAGCGGTAAAAGCTGAACCGGTTGTGTCCGGGGTAACTGGGTCGAAGCTGCATACAGTCCGAGAGCGGCGCAATTTACAGGCGCAGGAGGTATAAATACGTGTAATCAATCTATGCCCAAAAAAATAGACTCCTCAAGACCTTCCCAGAAATCTAACTAGGGAGTTTGGGACACCTAACCACATGAACCCAGGCAAACAGCAGAGGACTCAGTGTATCAAAGAGATGATGTCGGAACCCATTCAGTTTCCTATAAAACGGAGAATAGAAGTAAACCGGAGCGTTGGTTGGCAAAGCTGTTGGATAAATTATTGAACCAAATGAATTAGTTCCAATCAAATCTCACTCAAAATAACTTATTGTTGGATTTTTCTGGTGACGAATGTCAGTCATTCTTAGAAACAAAAGTCGAAACTTATGGTGGTCAAAACTCGCAGTGCCACATTGATTAAAGCGGAATCGCATACAACAATAGTACTCAGGCATGAAGCCATGGTGTTTGTGTTGAGTAAGGCTTGACAAGAAGAGATGTATCGCAATCAACGCGCAGTTACTTGTGGTACCGATGTTGGATAATTTATATTGATTTGACTATCCTTCAAACTTCTGACATTCATGCACCATCCTCGGTTCACCCAGTCAACCGCACATTTGGAAGCACTAGACTTCATCAGTCCGGAGTTCGAAACCCGAAATATGGGACGGTGGATATGCACTACTACTGATGAGCTGTAATCAGAGCGAAAATTGAGTAATGATGTGTTAGTTGACCTTTAGATATGTCACTCCAGGTTCAGTTGTTACCTTCTTCCTAATCCCTTGGACCTTTATTCGTATATTTTCGTCTGAATTGACCTCTCAGATGAGGTAATTTGAAAAAGAAAACCGTGACTTTGGTGCCCACGAGCTGAAAAACTCTTACTGTTTCTGTCTATCATTTCACAACAAGGCTAACTTTATTGTCAGTGTTCTCGACCACCGTCCCTCAAGGTAAATGCACACAAAGAGACGATTTGTGTGTGTGTGTGTGTGTGTGTGTGTGTGTGTGTGTGTGAAGAGAACCTACTCGTCTGACAGACCAGTGTCAAGGTTGTACGGGCCCCCAGTGTCGACAATTCTCCACGAATCAGACCATCTAAATCAGCCGCCATCATCGATTGTCCAGTCGCATCACGCACTTCCAGCTGTCCGTGTCGTGTTTTATTGAATTGATGCATACCGTTCACATCGAGTGCCCAAAACACCGGTTCCGATGTTTTGGATTCGAGAACTAGGTGCTATGCAACGGGATGTCGATCAGAAGTTTGACAAGGGAGGAATTTAAAAAAAATCGATCAGGATTTGTTACCAAAACACTAAATATGCCAATGCTTTAATGTATAGATATTTTCCTCTTGGTATTGCATAAGTACCAAGCAAGCATGAACAGTTTCAAACAACATGTGGCTAACTACAATGAATCAAGGGATAGTCATTTGCATGAATTATAACTCTTTTGTTAAAAGAGGAAGAGTGAGAGAGAGAGAGAGGATTTAGATACATACATCACCAGATATATATTTATCTATCTATCTATCTAACCATCTGTCTATCTATATATCTCCTTATCCGTCTATGTATAAAAATATATCATTAGATATGTACACTACTCACTCGAGAGATTGTACCGTCCAGTGTGCATCCAGTCTCATCCAGGGAACAGTCAAACACAATCTCCTCTCCGTGCGGTTCCACACTTAGCGGCTGACGAAGACCAATAGCCAATACCCGATGCGTGGTCTTCAACGAACGAGGACTTCGATCTCGTTCAAGTTCCGTGGATTCTGACTGCAGATCAGCAGTGTCCAATGGGGTTTTGTTGACCAAAATACTCAGCCGAAAATCATGAACTGCGACCTGGAGAAACAGAGAAATATAAAATGGAAGAAAACGAAACCAAGTTCATTGTTTTCAAATCACGTGATAATGCTATCCGATCAGTAATGGCTATTATAAATTCAATAAAAATTATTTTTTGTGCACATTGTTCAACAAATCTAGAGGAAAAGATAAAAGAGTTAGCAGTGTATACAAAATCAGCTGTTGTCAGTTGAATGGATTTGTGTCAGACAAAGCGAGAAGTGAATGACTCCTGAAACCTGTATAAATGAACAAATATCCTCTCTAATTTATTCGCATTTAACTCACAACTACTTGTGAGTATTGGTGTGGGATAATTGATATTTATTGATTTAAACTGCCGTTGGGCCAATTGAATTATCATTGAAGACGACATCTGAACAATAATCAATTGGCAATTTGGTTTAGTCATGGTATGAGCTGGTTATCACAGTGGTAAGGCATGCGCCTTCCATGCGATGGGTCCAGAGTTGAAATCCCGGACGGGACTGATGAGCTGTAATGAGAGTATATATGTATAAATTTGTGTTAACATCATCATCTGTGTCCCAACATTGATGTTGCATGGTCCAGATTGATTGCCGTGACTGGGAGAGGGGGGGGTAGAGACTGTGTGTATTCAACCACTGTATCCTGCGCTGTTTGGCAGGATGTTCGACCAAGCAATGCCAATATTAGGTGCACAGTTTTCGATAATTGCGAGAGCGTGCTAACACAGGATTGCGATGTCCCGGGGCATGAGTAACCCGTGTTACAGGACAGGGGTTCTCGTAATGCGATCTAGTGGCTGTGGACTGGCTAACAATGATCCAGTTGGGTGGTGGTGGTGGTGGTGGTGGCCCGGTAGTTCCGTNCCAAATTATCACCCCGGAAGACGTGGGTTCGAATCCCACCAATCGCACCACCTGAGATTCTCCTCATTCTCTGTATGTTGTATGGTAGCCCAATTGACTCGCTGCTTCTGCCTTCCTGAAAATTGACCAGGAGAAAGTTGCTTTGATCTTCCCAATAAAGAAAATGCTGACCAGCACAGTCAATGATGAAAGACATCTACTAACTATGTACGCAACACTAATGTACTCACATTCAGTATCTTTACCGTGGTCCAGCTCTCGGTGCGCTACTCATTCAATTCACTTCTTNTCCTCATGACGGACCGAATGGGCTGCGAGACGGGCGGCAAATATATCTATCGTACGAAGTGCAGGAATAACAGATATACAAACTAAAACCTGAATCTGAAATTCTCTTTCTCGCTCTCTGAACCCATTGTCAAACATGCATTTTTGGTCATCTTACAGGTTTTATTGCGTCAGTTAGTACATAAGCGACTGGTTGCTCACAGTTCCCCCAAGAGAAATCCAGGAATAAAGTTGATTCGGTTATGCCAGAATTTCTACGAGTTCTCTTCAAGTTCCACATCTAAAGGAAGCTACACCTGTAATATTTCTCGTGATCTTCGGGGCTTAATTTACAAAGTCGAAGTCGAACGCGAGCGTCATCGCCACGAGAGGCTGCATCCATTTTGAGGACAGCCAAATATCTGCAAAACTATGAGTCAAACGTTATAACAACACCGAGTTATTATCGATATTCATTGGTACTTTGAAACAGAGTTTCGACAGTAGAAATCTGTAATGATTGATTGAGTAGTAGTAGTAGTAATAGTAGTAGTAGTAGTAGTAGTAGTAGCAGTAGTTGTAGTAGTAGTAGTATTTCGCACGGAATTCGGAACGCGAACCCCGCAATAGGAATCACAGGACACGAAACTAGGATCAGCTATCACGAACTGGATCACGAACCGCAGTGGAACGAGCTCGCAATATCCCATGTGTACGAGACGCGAGGAAAAGGCCACAAGACTAGCATTTCGTAGTTCGCTTATTGAAAAAAATTAGGGCGCTTGAATGATATGTAAAAAAAGATTATTGGTTATCTAGGCTTCTGCCAATCATATTACAGTATTTCTTGCTTAATTCTGATTCTGTTTGCACTGTCTCGGATTGGCCGGTAAGATCCACCAATGGCGTGTAGTCAGAAGCTGTGAGGCGTAGTCGCCTTATTGACGTCACCTTTGAAATTAAATTGATCGCAGGTGTCCAGAAACAGTAACGCATCGCTCCAGCGTAGACGTCATCACGTAGGCCTGGATCACCACAAAATCTTGGCAGTATCTGCATTTTGGTGTGCCTGTTGGTGTTTTAGAATAGGCATTTTCTACCGTCGCCTTGGATTGGTATACGTCTACGCTCCTGGTCTGTGAAGAACACATGTCACTGGAGTGGAACGGGCTGAATGGAATTGTGTCAATGTGATTGACAAGGCGATTGGATTGGAAGGCACATTGTAAAGTCGCTTGCCCCGCCCCCGCAACTGCGTTTCAACAAAAGCATTGAGAAATTTGTTCTGCGTATTGTTTATTCTGGGATTCCTATGGGGCTTGAAATGTACATGGACCGGCAGCTCTGACGAGGTCAATGTAACAGATTGCAAAAGATACTCAGACAACTTGAAATGATCCCAGTCTGTTATGTTTTGAAAAAAAAATTTAAACACTAGCACCAACGATTTCGATGGATGCAACCGGATCGTAAGAATCTGGAATTTTCATGAAGAATCACCACCAAAATGGTCAAGGGACTGAGACTAAGATGGAAAGACTGGAACCATTAGAGTTGTACTCCACATAGTATCGCCGAATTCGAGGAAATTTGATTTAAGTGTATCAAATAATGAAAAACCCTGAGCACTCATGTCGTTCATAGTTCGCCTTGTCGCCTCAGGGGAGGTGGGAGAGGGGCAGAACTCGTTCAAATTAGTGCTTCAAAGAAATGGACTCGAATGCCCGCATCACTCATTTGCCCTCAGAGTGTGCACTATTTAAAATTCCCTACTATCTCATATTGTTTCTGTGCCCACAAGCACAAACTGGATAGAGCATTGTTAAGTCTTAAATTTTGACATCTGTAGCAGTGAATGAAACAAACAGAATTCGTGATATTTATCATCTCTCTATGAGCCCGAAATCGACAAACCCTACAGGACGACAAAATCAATCGCTTGCACGTATTTCCCTTAATTAAAACTTTGACTGTAACTTTGACCAGCTGCAATAATTGCATCCCATTATTTCGGTAATTTTACAAACTTTGATTTCTATTTCAAGTTCACGTGCAATATGCACCTGATGCCGTGTCGGGAATGTAGACTGTGTACAATATTCATCATTTGCACAAAATTTAAGCAACACCGATTTCCATTTTTATACAACAGCAGTTTAAAACACGCATGAAAATCTGTTGCTCTTATGGGTTACCACCAACAACAACCTGTTCTTACCTCACTCGGGCGGAACAGGATAGATCCATACCACTCAGACTTTTTCGCGATCAAAATCCGTGCAATCCGGTCACCGTGCTGGCGATCCGTGACCTCCGATGTGCTCAGCACTGATCTGTTCTGTCTGATATCTGTCTCTTCTGACCAGCGGAAGAGACCACTACTGGTTCTCGTACTGAGTCTGTTTCGTCCGACCGAATGGGTCGAACTGCGCCGATCCGGCTGGGATAAGGGCACAATCTCAAATTCCGGATGTTCGTGCAGATCAATCTCAACCAGGGCCTCAATCGTCCCACTATTGGTCAGACCGAATGGAAGCTCAGATTGACCGGTTACACAAACTCCTGAAACCAGAGTATTGGACAAGGAAAATGGATGAATTCTCAGTGGGAGAGAGAGAGAGATAGTGCGAACGTGTCAATGACCTTGGGGCAACACATTGAGCTATATCTACATCACTCTACACAATGCATTGTAATCCCCTAATATGTCGTGGTTTTTGATGGACAGATTCAAGAGCTGTTGTTTGCATGAGCGAAATAATTACTGGGTGGTTTCTTTGGAAAACAGATGACTTTGTTCTACCGACCGAAATAATTGATAATAATAATGATAATAATGGTGCTGGTAGTGGTTTACTCGCTGCTCCCAACCCTATGATCCGAGCTTCGAGTCCCACCGTTGCCACCCAATTTGGGGCATGCATCTTTGCTGTTGCTCCGTTTAATACACCCAAGAGGACCCAGTCGGGCCGTATGCGATTCACTACTCTAGGTCCTGCGGGGCTTAGGTTATCGGTTTCTCTCAGTGAACAACAGATCTTCAAGACTATGGAGTCTGACCGGTCTGTTGTTCATTGCACAAGTATGTGTAATAAAAAAATAACTAAGTCACATTAGGCTTCTTGATTGGGGACCTTTAATGGTGGTTTCTTGAAGACGGTACAATATGTGTGATGCAACACAGCGTATACAGTGTGTATGCGCCAGATACGTATTTTGTTGCCCATCGCATTTGCAGCAGCATCGGGAAAACAGCTACACCCTAACTGCACGAAAGTGGCTTATCTCAACCGACCAAAGATTTAGACCTGATATGATCTATTTGTATCCAGCTCTTTCCAAAGATCCACGGAACTTTGACTTTGTAGATTGTGCTTACGCTTGGTGTGTAATCACTCAACAATCATATAATCTGTGACATTTATTACTCGCTTTCTCGCTTTCCGCTACCCCAAACGCAGCTAGCTTGATGAGGGTATCTTATTTCGTTCCAGATATATAGCATCATCATGATGATTTGGATTGCATTTGGCAGTTGAAGAGTAGAAACTGTGTTGGTGCTTCCACAATGGTAACAGAATAACATCATCTGATCTCCAAGTAGACGGTGAATGTGCATAAGAAGTACGCGTAAATGATTCATTGGTATCTTTGTTTAGACATGCCTACGCGTAAGACAAACGACCGGAATATGTCATGAGATTGAGATTGAGAGAGAGCAGGAGGGGAGGGGCGGTTATGAAAGTGTGGACAGTCACAACATCGAATCCTTCTCCCATCCACCATGGAAACAGGATTCTCGGAAGTCGTTGTGTAGTGTAGTGCTCACCCTGTTATTGCTTTGAAACTATGAAGACGATACGTGGGTCAGGAAATCTGGTTAGGTCAGCCTGACTAGCAGGCCAACCTGAAATGGTGCTGAGGCAACGTGAACTGATACACGACCAGCTTGATTTTATGACCGATTAACTTGATTTGCCCAAAAAATACATTATGGTATGTATAAAAGACTCACATAACGTCAACAAATGTATTCTTATTGCGGATAAGTTTTGAAAAACATGTTGCTCGTATCACCACAAACGGGTATTTAACCTCCAATCTTTCCACGGACAGAGGGTGACATTCTTTTTCATTTAATTTGCTTCTATTGATAATCTAAAAATTCTTCATGTAATTAAAATCTGGGCCATATGCGTGCTAATCCACTAACTTTCGGTGTGTAAAATCCTGGCCATTGTCAACTCTGATCAGCGGTATTCTGTGAAGAAATGCACGTACTTTGTCGGTAATGCGTTGAAACTAAACCCCAGCTCGATTAACACATGCTACGCCAATTCGGGGCTGGTGGTTCGTTCCGCGAATTGAAAGGATTGGCACACGGTGTTCTACCGGCCAAATCAATGCGCCCGTTTCGCGTCAGCTAAGTACATGTAGTCACGTGAAGACAGGCCCACGCACTCGTCCAGTTTCCAATGTGCGTCCCATGTGTCACCCCGTTTATCTATAGGATTACTTAACCAATCACAGATATGCGGAAAACGTCGCGACCTTGGCATTGATTGAACAACTGTGATTGTGGTTCGCAGTCCGGCAGTGCGCGAACGCGTGAGTTGCACAGTTCGTGAGAAATGGTGAGTGTGAAACCAGGACCAGCACATTCAATCATCTGTTTGAAACCGCCGGTGAACACTGAATGATGTGGCTGGGTGCGGTAGACAATCCCACCCGTGACGCTCGTGTACTGCCTATCAATGCTCTTTTAGTCTACCCGGTGTGATGGACGGATAACCGGACGCAAACGACCAATGCCACTAGTTTATGGACCTAAAACTGAGGCATGCCAGATGCCGAAGGTGAACTCTGATAGTACAAAGGTGGATTAATTCACACTACTTACTGGTTAGGTTAGCCTTATTTGAAACACATTGTTATAATTATGATCATCATTTTTCTGAGTTCTTTAGTCATGCTTCTTCTCCTTCCAGTGCATAGCCGAGTTACTATTTTACAAAATATAATTATTGATTTATTTGTCTGATTTCCAGGACACCTAAATTCAGGGTACTGAACGATGGAATAATACTATAAGGGGTTTCAAGTTTCCCTTATCACATAAAGTGTCGTCAATAGGTTTCACAGATATAATAAGACCCAGGAACTACTAACCGAAAATGCAACCAAACATGTTTCAATGTATCAAGGTCATCCATCATATGCGCTAGAGGAAAGTTTCAGCCAAATCCATCGAATTAACTCCGTGGATTACTCGTAAAGTATATGCATTGTATGCATCAAAACACCAATGTAATTGGGGGAATCGATACACCGCACTGACTGAGAAAGATCTACAGACTGAACGGTTTTTCGTTGCCACAGGTCACAACTAGACGAGGTTCCTTCTTCCGGAAGCCTTATTTGCCATTCAAATTATTCCTGCAGCTAATACTGTGCTTTGTCGAGACAGAAGCTGTTCCCGGATCATTCCTAAAGACTGCAATACTGCAATGAGTGGCACGACAATCACAGAGAGAGGTATGTGCCACCAAAATGTGTAACATCAACTAAAAGCTCTAAGGACTAGGCAAAGTTGTCGAGACAGCGAAAAGACAGAAAAAAGAAATATCATCGAGGTGCTAGGCCCTGTCGACTGAGATCCCAACAGCACATGCTTCTCATAACTAACGGACAAGTCGGCCGAAATTATACTACCAATTATCCAGCAGCCGGTATCATCAGGTTCGACTATTCACACTGGTAAATGCAAATCATACCCTAACCTAAAAAGCTGTCGATACAGCTAAAACACAATAAAACGACCAAAATCTCTGTCGAGCGAACAACCGGAGTACTCATCAACTCAACAGAAGGTTATTGCAATAAACTCGAACGAATAATGACAAAAATTACCGGATCAGTGGGTGAAATGAATTAGCATCGTTTCGATGAAATTCAATATAAACTTCACTTTGAGAGAGAAAAAGTGTTTCAGAATCTGAAAATCTTCCGAGAACAATCAAAAGAAATAACCAATGTAAGAAATTGACACATCATAGTCACTATTTCCATACCATGGAAACCAGACACGGAGAATTAGACCAATATTCCCTTTCCATTGCCCCTCGGACTGCCAGAATAGCCAGGAATCTGTTTAAATTATTATATTACTTATGAGTAGGCCGACAACAAAAACAACAATGTTACATTTTTAGGTACCTAACAGACCTTTGGTTGTGATCAGTTAGCTTATCGACCTACAAGTCTTGTGTTCGAAGTCATTTAATGTACTCTACTTTTTCACCTCCTCATGTCTCCGCAAATTTGATTCAGTGCCCTCTTGAAAGGGATTTTGTGCCTTTATGTTCCAAATAAAACAAACGCTGCTAATGTCAGAAATATATATGCGATCGGCCTATGAAATTTAACTTACAAATCATTGAGATTATTCTACAAGTTCCAATAAGACCTGCTTCCTGAATTTCGCAAAATGGGCTGGAATTTCACATTTTTCCTTATGACATCCCGTGGTGTAATGAACAAAGGAAGACGTAAGATTCATAGCCACGGGGATCCCTGTATTAATTGAAGTAGGTATTGTTTACTGATCACAAATCACGGTCGCAACTGAAGCACAGAATCGCACTATCAGTTGTGTACTGTAATCTCCCGTCACAAAAACTCAGGAAACAGGCCACATGATGCACTTATTGAAATAAATCAATGAAATGAAATAATACGCGAATAGAAATACCACTGATCAAACCATTATGAGCCAGTCACCGTTCTTGTTCTTCGAGTCACACGGCTTCTGTTTGAACTGCATGGTTGCTGATTGATCGATACTGTTCGTCCATGACCTAATGTCCAGAAACTAGAGTGCGTAGCCGTTTGACAAGCGTCGTCTGGGAAGGTTGACTTACCGCAAATCTCTTATTCAGCTAAAGTAAGCGCCAAACTGGTACTTGTTTTTGGCGAACTACGAAAAGCCTCAACAAGAACATGGAGTACGACAGGTTGATATGGACAATTCACCGAATATGCAGTTTGTCTTTACAGAAATCCAGACTCGGTAACATGCGCGCTAACCTAAGCACTCTCTAGCTGTCGTCATTACTTCATTGCCATAACTCGGTCAGCTACGTGACATGCAGGCTGAAAAGTGTCACGGATCGGACATGGTTTTCGTATTCACTATCCAAATCTTAGATAAGTTAGCTTGTATTTACCAATCTTATGGTTTCTTTTCCTTTTTGATTTCATGAATGAAATCAGGAATCTTAAGTCTTTACCTAATGCCTTGGTTTTATTTTATTGGTCATCCCAGTTCTTTTGCGAGTGCTGTTTCATTTCCTGTACATCAAATATGGCAACAATGAAAAGAAATTACCCCCAAAATCCGAGAGAGTAGAATGAAGTGTGACGTCATGAGGTACCACAGTGCCGCAAACAGCTAGTGTGGTTGTTCTTTCGTCGTGTGTAGTCAGACGCAGCACAGCTTCGAATTTTCCCATACTCATCGGAATAGCGGTGATCTGAATAGGGGAGAGAAGAGACAATTGATGATAGTTGCACATCCAAAGAAATAACGAGGTTAATATAGAGGAGAATTCTTGTGTCCAGTAGCAAAAATGAGATCTGATCCATTTATGAAAATACAGACAGACAGGCGGACAAAAAAACAGACAGACAGACAGACAGACGGACAATTCATACTTCTAGCTGCACAAATCCATCTTCGACTAAGCAGTCTTGCCTTTGTTACAGAGGTCCATATCGCGTTGACGGCGAACAAATGCTTAGTTCTCTCTCTTCCATCTTTCAAAAACGCATTCGCGAACTCTGTCTCGGAATACCTAGATCGCTTTTTTTACTTTGATATTCAGACTAGAAGAGTAAAATTGAAAAGAAAACCGAAAGAAATTAAGGATAATGTTTGCGCCTCATGAACATCTAGCTAGTGATTACTGAAATCCATGCTACAAAAAAATGTGGACAATACAGTTTCTTGATAACTGCAATAAACACCTAACTCTTGTATGTGAAGATGAGATCTGAGGGATAGTTATATTTCTTCACATATTGCTTTGATATTCTCCATAATGAAGGACATGCTACCACCGAACCGGTTTGAAATTGCGGGTCTCTTCTCTCCCTACGTTATCTTGAAAGTTTCGTTTAACTGTTGCTGTGATTATTAGTACAGGAAATCATCGATCCCCGTCTGTTTCTTTCTGACTTATTCACTATAATGACTACGATCGCGTCAGCTTGATGATACTCTGGCATACATTATGTTTCAACGCCCAAATATATAATATATTCTCCTGTGCTCGCCAAAAACATTACATTACTATTTTACTTTCATTGATTAACTGTTCTCTTGTGAGTCCTGTTCCGAACCAAAGTGTAAACACCCTATGGGATTTGAAAAGCAAATTCTTTGTGAGTTTTTCCCATAATAAAAATTTGAAATTTGAATTTGGATGACCGCAGTACATTTTGCGACGAGCAACTCTCCCGTCTCCGACACTACCGTAAGTTATTTCTCTCGCTTTCCATGGTGTACTTTTCCTTTCCTTTTTGTCTATTTTGACCTCAATGTTTTTTGTTGAGCCACCAAAATCTCGGTTTCCTGTAGGCCCTTGTATGAAGGAGAATCGTGGTGAGTCAATCCTTAAACTGACGCCAACCAAGAGCCAACACCATTCCAGTGTCTAGACTGTGGGCCCCTGGTTGGTGAGGCACACAAATCACTGAACTGCAGTGGACTGATGGTACAAATTTGTCACCACTATTTACCGGGTGAAACACAGATTGATAATCAACATAAATGTAAGGTTGATAGCGCGGACAACCAGTCACGTGGCATCCAACGCGAGTGAGCTGCGTCAAGCTTTAAGCTCTCATTACACATGGACCAACATTATTGATCATTCAACAGCCTGCTTGGTTTGCGTCATCTCAGAGGACTGACTCACCACAATATCCGAATATGTATAACTCCGATTCCTCCCTGATGCATGTTCAAATAACGAATCTATTAACGGCAAATGCGTCCCGCGCGGAGATTTCCAATTCACCTGGCGTGCGTTCAGCAGTTGATCACGTGAATAGTGTATAATTGCTAAAACTAAAACAGTCAAAACTACCCGCCGAGGTAATGTGCTGTCTCATCGCTTTACATATGGGAGCTTATGAATACCCACTCAATGGTGGACTATGTAAAATCGATTCTATCTCGGATTGTGCGCCTGAGGGATGCATCTCTGCTCCCACTGAAACTCCAAGTGAATCCACTTACCTGAAGATCAACATGATCGCCGGTGGGAACCTCACCCTGGGATGGAGAGATCATAATTTTCACAGAATTGGTCGATTTCGGTGTCGGTAAATGCGACCCAACCGAACCGACTGTCTTG